GGGCAGTTTGGGATATGTCAGGGTCATCACCAGAGAACCCACAGAAGCAACTGGTCTTCTCATGGGAGCTCACAGACTATGGACTGTGGACCACAGCTGGGGAGCCTGCAGGGGACCAGCCTAGGCCCTCTGCATGTGTGTGACAGTCCTGTGGCCTGGTCTACTTGTGAGACTCCTGGGAGTGGAAATGGGGTCTGTCCCTAATGCTTTGCCTGGCTTTTGAGAACTTGTCCGGCCTTAACACAAGGAGAAGAGCTCAGTCCTACCTCAACTTGATATGCCATGCTTTGTTGGCTCCCACGGGAGGCCTGTCCCTTAATGAACAGAGATGGAGGAGGGGTACATTGAGGGGTGGCAGAGGGGAGGGGGAAGGGGATGGGAGGGGGAAAGCGGAGGCTGCGGTCGGGATGTAAATTAATGAAAAATTTAATTAATAAAAAAATTCTTAAAAATACTTTTTGAGCCGGGCGGTGGTGGCGCACGCCTTTAATCCCAGCACTCGGGAGGCAGAGCCAGGCGGATTTCTGTGAGTTCGAGGCCAGCCTGGGCTACCAAGTGAGTTCCAGGAAAGGCGCAAAGCTGCACAGAGAAACCCTGTCTCGAAAACCCAAAAAAAAAAAAAAAAAAAAAAAAAAAAAAAACTTTTTGAAAAATAAAGCCATTCTAAAATCTTCTTCAATTACATCTTAAAAAAATAGTAAATGATTTTCTCTTTAGTGATGAAACAGAGGCTATTTGAATTTTCAAAAATTATACTTAATATTTTTTATTAAAATAGCTAATACCAAATATTCCTAGCATCCTGCAAATTTAATCTTACCTGACTTGCCATTTATTAATAATATCATTGGGTGCACTAATTAAACAGATCCTAATCTTTGAAATAAAACAAATTTCACAATTTTAATCTTCAAAATTAATTCTTTCGTGCACCTAAAGCAAAGTTTTCATTTTTAATATTCCATTTGTATTTAAAAATTTCTCAGTGTCATGTTATACTAAAAAATAAATCGCCCCAGTTTTACATCCTCATATGAAACCATTCATCCAGTAATTTTTGGTTTTTCGAGACAGGGTTTCTCTGTGTAGCTTTGTGCCTTTCCTGGATCTCACTCTGTAGACTAGGCTGGCCTGGAACTCACAAAGATCTGCCTGCCTCTGCCTCCCTAGTGCTGGGATTAAAGGCGTGCGCCACCACCGCCCGGCTTCATCCAGTAATTTACAGATCCTTTTTCAATGAATTTTACTTTTTAAGTGACTTTGAAATTCTTACCAATGAAAATTTCTTTGGCAAAATTGATAGAATGGTTTTATAAATATATTATGAATACATGTACCAAAGACAAATTTTGAAGTGGAAATTAGTATTAGATTATCTATTATGCCATGTTTTAAATTAAAAATAAAACCAACAGTCTGATTACCGGGGTAGGCCAGCTCAGGCACCCTCTCCACTATTGCTGGTAGTCTAAGCTGAGGTCATCCTAGTGGATTCCTGGGAACTTCCCTAGCTCCGTGTTTCTCCCTATCCCCATGATACCCTGTCATCATAGAGCCTTCATTCAGTAACTGATGGAAACAGATGCAGAGATCAACAGCTAAGCACCAGGCAGAGCTCCAGAAGTCCAGTCAAAGAGAGGGAAGAGGGATTCTATGAGCACAGGGCATCAAGATCATGATGGGGAAACCTACAGATAAAACCAAACCAAGCTAGTAGAAACTCATGAACTTTAGACCAACAGCTGTGGAGCCTCCATGGGACCGAACTAGGCCCTCTGCATGGGCGAGACAGTTGAGTAGCTTGGTCTGTTTAAGGGGCCCCTGGCAGCGGGAATAGGATCTGTCCCTGGTGCATGAACTGGCTTTTTGGAGCCTGTTACCTGTGGTGGGACACCTTGTACATCCTTGATGCAGGGGGAGAGCTTTGGACCTGTCTCAACTGAATGTACCAGGCTTTGCTGACTCCCCATGGGAGGCCTTACCTTTTTGGAGGAGGGGATGAGGGATGGGGGAAAAGGCTTAGGGGGAGTAGGAGGAGGGATGAGAGGGGGATCTGTGGCTGGTATGTAAAATGAATAAAAATTTTCTTAATGAAAAAATCTCAAAATAAAAATAATTAAAAAATAAAACCAGCTGAACTTGAAATAGATATAATTTAATGCAACTTCTGGCTTTCTAATTTATTTTTTAATTGTGGATCTACAGTTCTGGGGATGAAATTTTAAGCCTCAGTCATAATAAGCAAGAACTCTATCATTAGACTAAAATGCTATTTTTAAATGATGAAGTAACTCTAGCTACTATGTCCCTTTCATCTCCATCCCTAGACTCCTTTATATATAATTTAGAGGGAGCAAAACACAATGCCCCATTATAAAGTGTATGACAACATGCTTCTGATAGCTCTTTAATCACATGACACAGTAGATTATTGCCTGCTAATGAATGTCTAGATTGCCTGTACCTTTACAGACCCTACCAACTCATTTGACAAAGTTACAAAACGTATTCAAATAAGGTCAAAATAGATAAGCATAAATGTAAAATACTTGTTATCCTGGTAAATTATGTGGGATAAACAGCCTATATGTTTAAAAAATTACACTTAAAGGAAAACTGATTTAAAAAGTTGAAAATGGAAAACACATATATTTTTTTCTACCCAGTATCCAAAATTTTATACCCAATGCTTCTTCCTTTTTGATGGTAAGGAATCTGTAAAAGTTGCCTTTAGAACACATTTTCTCCCATGACCCTTTCCCACTGAAAATGGTTTCTTTTAATCGTTAGACTATCTACCCACTCAAAATTCTCAAAATTTCATATTGGAGAGTATGCTTTTTTAAATGATATGATGAAGTGATTCTTTTTAACATGTAAGTATTAGATAAGATTTTTGTCACTACTTGCAGAAGAAAGGAATCTAGTTTTGTTATGAATGAGGAACAAATCCCTTTCAAATCAATTAATCACCACTCATATATTTCTTGTAGGAATTAGAGAGCAGGTGAAGGTGGTACCTTGAAGGAGATAAATTTATTCTGGCATATCTGTTACTATGTACATGCACCATATAAAGCAGAAGGTGAAATATGTCACCTGAACAGTCACCTATAACATTTAAGTATAACACCATCTGTCAATCATGTCAATTGACTTTCTAAGTTCACTTATATTTCATCTTTCCATACATTATAGTGCTGGAAGTTCTTGGATAGTGCAAGTAGCTATCTGAGTCCAAAACATGTTTCCTGTGTGAATGTAGAAGATGATCACAGAAAGGAAATGGTAAATGCTGCTGAGCTCTTACTAGAAGTCATATAGCAAGGATGATAGTGTATCACAAGGCACGCAAGTGTTAGACAGGAAAGCGTTGCAATCAACATTATCATTTTAACATTCACTGATGCTTTAAAGGAACTAAATCTCATAAACTTGAGTTATATGTTGTCTTTGTTAGGGTATGACTATGATGACACCATGACCAAAAGCAAGATGGGGAGGGGAGGGATTTACTTGGCTGACACTTCCACATTGAAGCCCATCACTGATGGAAGTTGGGACAGAAACTCAAGAAGGGCTGGAATCTAAATGCAGGAGCCGATGCAGAGGCCATGGAGGGGTGTTGTTTACTGGCTTGCTGCTTGTAGCTTGCTCATCCTGCTTTCTTATAGAAACCAGGACCATGAGCCCAGGGATGGTACTCCTCACAACGGCTGTGCCCTCTCCATCAATCTCTAAATAAGAAAACACCCTAGAGTCCAACCTTAGGGAGGCATTTTCTCAATTGAGTTTCCCTCCTTTCAAATGACTCTAGCTTATATAAAGTTGACATAAAATTAGCCAGCATTTGTATGATCCTCATTAAATTTCACCATACTCAGATAAAGCAAATAGTGATAAAAATTCATTCATTGACCATTTACTAACATAAACTGGATATGATTTATTATTTAATTTACATATTCTGAATTTTGTTTCTCAAGCCTGAAGTCACAGGGAAATCGTCTTAATGTCTGTTGAAATCAGTGGCTCAGTAAAAACTATGATATTCCAATATATCATGCTCCTCTTACCATTTAAAATTTACCCTCGAGGGCTGGGGAAATTGTTCAGTGGTTAAGCACTTGCTTCTCAAGCATTAGGAATACTGTTTGGGTCCCCAGAACCTATGAAAATGCTTGGTAGGCATGGTGCCCACCTGTAATTCTATATTTAGAAGATGGACACAGGGAATCACCAGAGAAAGCTAGCTAGTAAGAATGGCTGTAGAATTGACTTCTAGCTTTTCACAAGAGACCCTACCTCATGGGAAAGGTTGACGAACAATGGAGAGTTGTTCCTAAAATTTACTGTGGGCCTCTACATACACATGCACCTGTGTGCATGTGCCCCCTAACATGTACCCACATAATGCAAATATGCATGCACATATACACACCACGCATACATGTATTAAAATGAAAAAATACAAAAATATATCTTGAGAACTCATTCCTTAGCTGTCTAAAAGACTTCCATGTTGAGTAGGGAAGAAACAACAATACCAAGAATCAATACAAAGCATAGCATGGCTGTAATTTTTCTGTGCAAAATCAAAATACTGTGAAACTCAAATCCAATACTCAATTTCAGAATTATGAATTCTCAAATTAGCACAACCTATTATCAGAAAAGATATTATTCATGATTTCTCACAAGACATTTACTATTTTTCCTCTTTTGTACTGGGAATTGTATCTAGGGTATTGTGTATGCTGGTCAAGTGTTCACCAGTGAACCACAACTCTAATTCTTTATTTCTGTGCCACCAGTTTGAACATAGATTAGTTATTTGAGAAGTTACCATTTCAAGCCATCTGAACACCCCTAAAATCAACTTTACACTTCTTATTATTTACTGCAGTAATTGTTTCACAATAAGCCTCAATACATGATATGCAGTATATAGCAACTCTCTGTTAGATGCAGTTCTTACATCTAATGAGGGTCTAACTTACCGGTGGATCAGCCCCCTTAGAACCAGTCAGCCCTCCTGTTAGGGATTCGATGTCCTGAAAAGGGGAAAAGGGATAATTTTAAATGCTACCTAATAACACGGACTCAATAGCAACACCCAGCCTCACAGTGTATTGTCTTTGGTAGCAAAGCTAGGATGCTTCTGTTATTTTTATTTTCTGACAATATTGGAGCCTACATGTAAATATATAATTCTCTTCTCTAACTCTCATTTAGAGAGTGTAAAAGGGAAATTAATGAAAGCAGGCAATTGTTCTTGAAATATGAAAAGAAAAAATGGCTCTAGACAGAAAAAGAGATGTTTTGTCTTAAAGAGTTAAAGGGCATACAGAAAAACAAAAGAAATAACCTCAATCAACACATTATTCTCAAGAATGTTACTTCATAATGGTACTGTATCCACAAAACATTTAAATTATCTATGTTAGGAGATATGGGTAGCTTAGGTTTTCCTGTAAAAAAAAAATTTTAATGTTGAATTAGCAGCTACAGAAGATAATACATAAGAAATGACTATACTTGTCAGAGTTATCCTGAATGGAGAAATGAAAGATGCTATCATAAATTTTATAAGCAGTGATGTTTATAGAAATGAAGATAATTCTGTTATATCCATTCTAGGGTTTAATGTAATTGATATTAATCACATAACCTTTTCAGAATAAACTAGAATGCCAGATTTTAAAATAAAATCTCACAAAATTTTAATCTCTCTCTCTCTCTCTCTTTCACACACACACACACACACACACACACACACACACACACACACACACACACACACTCACACCCCCAGTCTGCTCAGGGCATCCTGCTACTAGCCATCCCTGACACTGACACCCTGACAAACAGATAAAAACACTTTGAAATGTATTAGCTTAATTAAACCTTGGGTTTGAGATATTGTCAGATAACATCCAAGGCAAACTCTGTCTTGATCTTGCTGTAACCTGATTTTCTGATGTTTCCACCAATGGGTTTTGTAAATGTCTTGATTTATAACTTTCTATTTTTTCTGTTATGGTTAAAACACCATGGGCTGCCTCCATATTGGAGTATATAACCTGGGTAACTTAAATCCATGTTTCTGGGCCTCTGTCAATCAAATTTCGCTATAGAATAAACTATCTCTTTGTTCCCTTAGGGGATAAGAGCTGTGCTTTTGAATTAAGTGTAGTGAAATCAATAGGTTAAAAAAAAATAACCCGATGGAACCCTGAGCAAGAAAAGGCATGTTCAATGTTTTGACATTTCAATACAATGTTGCCATCTACAAGGTTCACTTTGACAAATCAAATAATCAAGTTACAAACAAAACAAAACAAAACAGCCCCGCCCCCTAACGTTTAAATAAAGTTTACAATTTTATATTGGCTATATTCACAGCTCTCTCTGCTTCAGATATTACCTGACAAAGCAGTTTGCCTTTTCTTTGGCCTGCCATTGCTTTTAGATAGTAAGAAAAAATGTCATGTTTTCTCACAATTACTGTAATTTTTATAAATGAGTATGAAATCTTTGGCAAATATGCTCATCCCCTTATTAACTGTATTCATCGACACATGTGAACAAAAATAGCAAATCCCAGCATGGAGAGGGAAAAGATGGGCAGGAAGTTTCATCCCTATCTGAGGAGCTTTTGGCAATTCTTAGCTGTCAGAAGGGGAAAGTCAGGTTCCTCTTTAAGTATAATCCCTAGTAAGTCAAACTTGCTCCAGTAACCAGCTGTACATCCAAGAATATTTGGGTAGCACAAATTGTCCTTTATAAGATGTGGGAAAAGACAGGAAGTTGGGTGGTGTGTACTGATCAGTTTTATATCAACCTTACATAGCCAGAGTCATTTGGGGAGTGGGACACTCAATTGCTAAAATGCCCCCAAGAGATTGTCCTGTGAATAAACAAATCTGTTGGATATGATTCACATGGCTAGAATCATTTGCAAAGAGGGATGCTCAACTGATAAAATGCCAAGAGCCTGTCCTGTGAGCAAACAAATCTATTGAATGTGATTGATGTGTGAGAACTCTACTCACTAAGGGAGGTGCCAACCCTTGCTCTTCTGGTCCCAGATTCTATAAAAAGAAGACTGAGAAAACCATGATGAGCAAGCCAGTGATCAGTGTTCCTCCATGGCCTCTGTTTCAGTTCCTGCCTCCAAGTTTCTGACCTGAGTTCCTCCTATGACTTCCCTCATTGATGGTCTGTAAGCTGTTAAAAGAAACAAACCCATTCCTCCATAAGAAGCTTTTGGTCATGGTGTCTATCACAACAATGGAAACCCTAGCTAAGACACTAGGGAAAAGGGGTGGATTTGGGAAGAGTTGGGGGAGGGAGGGTGAGTATGATCAAAACGCATTGCATGACATTCTCAAAGAAGGTTTTTTTTTTTTTTTTTTTTTTTTTTTAAATCATAGAAACAGTGATAAAAAGGTTGGATAAAGCACAGGGACAAATAGCCAAACGAATGGAAACACATGAACTATGAACCAATGGCTGAGGGGTCACCAACTGGATCAGGCCCTCTGAATGGGTGAGACAGTTGATTGGCTTGATCTGTTTGGAAGGCATCCAGGCAGTGGGACCAGGTCCTGTGCTCATTGCATGAGTTGGCTGTTTGAAACCTGGGGCCTATGCAGGATCACTTGGCTCGGCCTGGGAGGAGGGGACTGGACCTGCCTGGACTGAGTCTACCAGGTTGATCTCAGTTCTCAGGGGAGGCTTTGCCCTGGAGGAGGTGGGAATTGGGGGTGGGCTGGGGGGAAGGTAAGGGGGGTGGGAGGGGGAGAACAAGGGAATCCGTGGCTGATATGTAGAACTGAATTGTATTGCAAAATAAAAATAAAAAAAAAACAAAAAACAAAAAACTTAGTAAGCTGGGAGGTGGTGGCTCACGCCTTTAATCCCAGCACTCGGGAGGCAGAGCCAGGCGGATCTCTGTGAGTTCGAGGCCAGCCTGGGCTACCAAGTGAGTTCCAGGAAAGGCGCAAAGCTACACAGGGAAACCCTGTCTCGAAAAACCAAAATAAATAAATAAATAAATAATTTTAAAAAAGTTTTAAATTTACTGTTGCAACATTGTCTCACTAAAACATGCAAACCTATTTTTACAAGGTTATAGAATTTCCTTCACTTTATTATACACCTTATATAGGCCATTGCTTACATCTAATAACCATTAATCATCTCTTTAGTTTATTTCTTCAAAAATTAATAATGATGACTTCACATTATCCAAGGTATGAAATACTTATATAAGGTTAATAATTAGCCCTTGACACAACTATACAGAGTCAATCTCTCTTTAATTGGAAAGCTGGGCTCACGGGATGGACCTGGTAAATGGAACTAGAAGTCTTCAGTACTCTGAAGGCTGTGCAGTATCAGACCTCTGGATAAAGACTAAAAGGCAGCATTAAGCATATCTTCCTGAGAATTTACAATAAGTTACTCATTACACTGAGCTCATGGTCTAGCTGCACCTCCTCCCCATGAACTCCTCCTCAAGGAATTGTTTATATTTTCCGCCTTGGCATATACTGGGAATAATGGAACTATAGAGATCAATCATGTGACTTAAATGTCAGTTATCTGGTTCTGATTTGAATCTTCCTCAAATGGGAATATATGGATTTGAAGACTTTTCAGGACTATTCCTGATTTGTTTTTTATATCTGTAAAGAAGAGAATTATTCAATTACAGGAAAGAAATATATAATAAAAAAGTCACCTGATACCAAAGGCAATAAAAGGAAGAAATGAAAATTATGAATAATGTCTTAGTTAGAGTTGCTATTGCTGTGATGAAATGCCATGACCAAAGAAACTAGGGGAGGAAAGAGTTTATTGGATTTACATTTGGTATTACTGTTAATCATTGAAGGAAATCAAGACAGGAACTCAAACAGAGGAGGAACCTGGAGGCAGGAGCTGATGCAGGAGAGGGGTGCTAGCAGGGAGCTGATTACTGGCATGCCTCTTCCATGGCTTGCTCAACTTGCTTTCACAACTCTCCCCCTTTCTAGATATTATAGAAACCAGGAAAACCAGCCCAGGGATGGCACCACCCATAATGGGTTGGGCCTGCCCCCATCAATCACTAATTAAGAAATTGCCTACAGCCCAATAGTTTGGAGGAATTTTCTTAGCTGTGGTTCACTCCTCTCAGATGACTTTAGCTTATGTCAAGTTCACATAAAACTATCCAGCACAAATAACCAATTGAATTTATTTTCACCTAAACCATATAACCCAGAATATCATGGTAGCAGTTTTTAATTGAGCATAAAATTTTAGTTATAAGTCACTTAATATAAAATTACTTAAAGCAATTACTTCTATTAGTAAACACTGCAAATTATCAGATTTATGAGTATGATAAGCTAAATTATTTTTATCTTAAATTTATAAGCTGAAATCCCTAATCCCCACTACCTAAATATCTAAAAATAATTGAATATAGATTTTGCATACAGTGAGTCAAGAGAGTAATCTGATATACTGGTGTCCTTATAAAATAAGAAAGAGATAAGTAATGGAGGCACACTGAATGTAGTCCACAGAAGGGCACAACACAAAGGCTGCTTGCAAGCCAAGGGGTGAGATCTCAGAGGAAACTTACTCTGGCATCACATTGATATTAGAGATCTAGCTTCTGGCACTGTCTGAAAAAAAAAAGTTCTGTTTGAGCCATGTAGTGTAGCCTGCTGTATATTGCTGTATGGAAACTAGTAAACTGAGGTAGGTGTATTTATAATTTGGTATCATAGCAGGGTTCTTTGGGAAATGACATCGTATTTCAATATAGACTGTATTAGAGATCATTAGGCAGTCCATCTAAAACCTAATGATACTAGAGGAGTCGACCTTAGCAGTGAAATCATTGTTTCATCAAATACTTACATTTGCTTATTACTTTATGATAATACTTAAGGCAAAATCAAAATTGAGTATTTCCGTTTTATTAAATAAAGAAATCTTCCAGTTTCACTTCTGTCCCATTTCCTGTTGATGGAGTTTCTACTACATAGCTCAA